AAATGATTCACAAAGGCGTGCCCCGAATGTGCAACCATTCGCCATTCGCAACCCTGCAAGGTCCACAGTGACAACCGGCTTGACGGAGGCAGTGATGTGGGTGGCCATATGTTTTTTTTTGCTACGGAAATCCAGTTGTTTGATGACATGATGTGTACGAATGTACATGGAGGTACCCGATGAGCAACAAATGGATCATCTCGTTTTTAGCTGTCAGCAAGATGCTGAATTCTAAATGTATATAAGATATATATATATAACTTATATAAGTGATACTCCTGAAGGGCATATTTACAAACAGCAGAATATGTACGACGACTATGTTCAAGTTGTGATCCTTCCGATGGATCCCCAACGGAACAGTCCTGGCTCTTGTATCTCCACATTTTGTTGGTCAAGGTTGTTTTTTTGGTATGTATTCAATGGGAATTTCAGGATCCTAAAATGGAGGTACCTACCATATATATAAGGCCTATGTAAGGGCTATGTCAGTGAATATCCCAGCAAAATATGGCCTGAGCAATGGTACAGTACCGCCATTTTAGGATCCTGGGATTTCCATTGATATATGATATAATATGGGTATATCATGGTATATCTGAAAGTGGAGGATAGCACCGGCCATTTCATGACCGGAAACTGATGACCGGTGGATTCGAGGGTACGCTACTTTTAGACAAACCCATATATATATATATATATGTATATATATATATGTATATATATATATATATATCCATTTTATAATTTGCATCCAGGTTTCGTTTGTTTTACGCCTCATATGTGCTGGTCATGTCAAGATCTCTGAAAAATGATGCAGAAGTTTTTCCCTGATGACCCCAAAGATGGACGGGCATGTGTTCCCTGTGATATATGAATTTGAGGTCAGTATTTCAAATCTTCCAAGCGTTCGATACCTTTTTGGTTCTTTGTAATTGTGTTTTTATTTATGGACAATGGACTATCCCATATGTTTGTTTGTAGCCCTATTTTTCTGCCACACCGCTATCTCAAAGCCACCTGCTGTAACCTTCACAAAAAACCATTGACCTTAGCTATGACTAAACGTTGCCCGTTGGTTCACTAGGGGCATCACCTTTCCGTAAAAGGGATGAATTATGACAGTGGCACTGGAATGATGCTAATGGGGAATCATATCCAAAAGGCCTTGGATTAATAACACCATACTCCTTGGATTAATAACGCTATTCATACCGACCATGTTAGTTATACTGAATACTTGCCATACTCTTCTAACTGACGCTCAGTCGTCAGTTTTGTCGACCATATTTGTTGCAGTATACCAAGCAACTATCCAGGATTAGTTTTACTTTCTATTAGACAACCAGTTAATCAACAAGCAGGATAAACCATGTTCATACAATCTGAAAAAAGTTTTTGCCCTTTTGCATTCACCAATCTACCCTGTGGTACTTTAACACGACTTCCATGTGGAGAAGATCCATCGGGGAGGCTCCTTGAAACCTCGAACGCCAGGTTTCACAGGTTGAAAGGGCGCCAAACTTGGCGTCCCTTGGTGTCGGTGAATGGTTCTGGGTTACCCGGGTTGGGTCAACAGGATATGGGGTTGCCTCAAAATGATAGGGGAAACCACCAACCAAAATGAATGGTGAAATTGAAAACCTTCTTTTAAAATGGCCATAGATGGGGTACAGCCCATTTTCAGATATAGCCATATGTTGTTTTTATACTTGGGAAGGTATTGTCCAGTGAGTGTAGCATGGGCCAAATGGGGGGTTGTTCTACAGTTGTACAAGGCAATCCTGGGTGGATGCTTGGATAACCAAGGGAAAAGTGATTGAAATCATGAAGTTTATTGCCAAAATTGGGAAGGTTTACCATCACTAGAAGGATGATGAAGCCAAAAATGGCTCATGCGTGAGCCATGGCTTGACGGAGGGCGCGCTGTTTGTTTTTCCCATTCCGCCCATGTGGATTCTAGAGATGGTTGGCATCCTCCATTGCTGGACTAGAGTGGCTAGTGACTAGTTGGACAGGCTAGTCCTGTTCCTTGAAGATCAAGATGCAGCGCATTTTGTGGTTCTGATTTTTCTGATTCACCACATATTTGAGTGAATCAGAATCATCTCCTGGTTGGTGGTTTGGGACATTTGGATTATTTTTACATATGTTGGGAATAATCATCCCAACTGACTTTCATATTTTTCAGAGGGGTTGAAACCACCAACCAGCTAAAGTGGCACCCCACTCGTGGCTTTTATTGGGATCAAGCGGAAAATCAACCCATCCTGGAGTGGAATCGGACATTGGACCATGGGACCGGACCAGGGCGCCCACTGCCAGTCATCAAACGCATTTTGAGTGTGGTAGAAACGATCTACCCCAGGATGGCTATTTGCCATTTGTTATTTTATGGTATTTTGCCATGTTATACCGTTATCAGTGCTTTCGAGCCATTAAAAAGCTACCATCCTGGCGTTTTCCCAGGACTGTCTTGAGCTATAAGCCCGAGATGCCAGCAGCAAAGCGGGAAGGCGGGCGTAGCGGTCGTGGTTTCCACGTGGAACGTCAGCGTTGAAAATAGATTACCCCTTGGATGTGCATCCCAGTTAATTACTAATTTGGCAATAAAGACATATAAAGACGCTAGTACAACTCAGATATGTAGGGGCTTTTTTCATGGGTTATGAATCACTTACTCACTCAATTTTTTCTCCAAGTAGCAACCATAATTATAAGATATTATAAGATATTATAAGGCATTGATATGTGGGATAGTCCATGAAAAAAAATTGGACGTTGAACTCACACCAGGCTTACGTGTACCAGTTACGAGGACCGGAGGACGCCGGGATGATCCTCCACAGTCCCGATCATGATACCCGGCCTGGTAAACAGTCCCAAAAAACGATGGAAAGATCCACCATTTTATAGTTGGGTAAATCAGCTATTTCTATGGCCATTTTCAATAGCTATGTTAGTCATTACCAGAGGGTATGAAATGATCATCACCTCTTGGTGGAAAATTGATCATTAAAATCCCATCAAAAGGGCGACTGCAAACATAATAAACTGGGGACGGTGCTTCGGAACATGGCTATTATTTATTGGGAATATATAATCATCCCAACTGACGTTCACTCCATCATTTTTCAGAGGGGTAGGTTGAAACCACCAACCAGCCATTATTAACCATCATTAATCATCATTAACCATTATTAAATCACCATTAATCATCATTAATCATCATTAATCATCATTAAATCACCATTAAATCACCATTAATCATCATTAAATCACCAGCAAAAATCACCATTAATCATTAACCATCATTAATAATTAGCTAGCTGGGCGATCCCCTGCAGAGGTTTATAGATGCTTAAAACAAGATGGTTACCATGTGGTTATGACTAACATTGCCGTTAATCACCATTAATTAATCAATGTATATATCTCCAAAAGATACCACCATTTCACAGCGACGGAAGCACTGCTTGACGACTGCAGGTCATTTTATAGGAGAACTTCCAGGGCTCCGGGGGCATCCAATTAGAGCTATTTCATAAGGACAATAAGAACAATGGAAATTTCAGGATCCTAAAATCATTAAAAAAAACTAAGCAAATCATCCAACATGATTTGTTGACAATCATTTGTTTTTTCCCTGCAGTAAGTGTCCAAAAGGCATTCATTGTTAAACATGGCCCTGGTTGTCGGTTGCCAGTTGCAGTTTTTGCGAGTATTATACCGCACTATCATACCATATCATATCATCATGTAGCAATATCAATTTAAGTCACAAATTCAATTCACATCATACCAGATCATACCTTAAATCATATCCCAATTTGCTGGGTTTTTTTGCAGCCATGCCCCCTCTTCTTTCCACATCCCTGCGGCTGCGGAACTTGAACCCATCGGTCACGCAGTCCGAGTGTTCAAACCGGGGGCAGCCTCGCAGCTCGGCATGTTCTCGCGCTTGGGGGCGCAGATTTTTGGAGTCGATCGGGTCTCCAGGCGATCCGTGGCCATGGGGACCGTGGGGATACGCCATGGGCCATGGGGATAGCAATGATAGCAATACCAATGGGGATACCGGGATACAATATGATACAATTATATAGATGATATATGATGATATAGCAATGTGTTGACTCTGTTGGGGAGGAACATCAGGTCTTCTTGGTGAGGTTTTGATGTTTACCTCCTTGACGACGCTGTTTTTCAAGTTGTTGAACATGAAAGTAGCCTCTATCCTCTGGTAACCTTAAACATGGCAATGGACAATTCCCCATTGACATAATTGATATGTCCCATCTATCGGGGATTTCCTACTATGATTCATTACCATTAGGTATTTGGGCAAACTCTGATGGGGGAACCTCAGTTGGATCACAGTCGTGCTCAGAGAAGGGTAGAATTCCTGCCAAAGTTGGATTCCTTTGGATGGAGAGTTTTATATTGTTTTGCTATGAGTTGAATGGCTATGTAATTAATGAATATTTGGGTAACCGGTATGAATTAGATTTGGGAATATGTTTCTTTTTGGATAACGGATAGCCACGGATGTCTATTCGGGTGCCAATGGCCATAATGGGCAACTCTGACCTATTTTGACCAGATCCTTTGAAAAACTTTGGGAAAGCCTCAAAAAAGGGGTGCCGGCTCACGTGTTGCAAAAGGCTTGCAGAGTAAAACCATATGAAACGAGCGATGATCGAATCCCCTCGGTGGCTTGATAAGGGTAAACAGTGTGTGTTTAACAGTGTTGTTTTTGTAGATTAGCCTCACTGACCTTGCAATGGCAAACCCCCCATTTACTGATAGCGTGAAAAATACTAAAGCCGGGAACTTTGTTGTAGCTCGTTGCTATCATTATGTCATTACATCTCACTACCATTATGCACGCATAGCTTTCCTTAAGAAATTTGGTTGCCACTCTCCGATGGTCGGCCAGATTTCGGAGAAGAATGGGACGAAAACGGGACGAAGAAGAGATGACCATGTTGCCAAAGGTCATGGGGAAGGAGGACAACGGATGGAGATTGAGCAACGTCAGCAAGACATTTGCGTTTTTTTCACAAACACACACATATGATATTAATATATTATAGGTATTATACTGGTTGGTGGTTTGGAACATTTTTTTATTTTTCCATATATTGGGAAGAATAATCCCAACTGACTTTCATATTTTTCAGAGGGGTAGGTCAACCGCCAACCATATATATATATACTGATGAACGGTATCTCTGGTTTATTGATTTTCTTATTGGTTTCGGCCACCATCCATGGCGAACGGGAATGAATCGCTTTTCTCAAACGGTTTTGAGGCCCTTCAAATCCCGGATGAGGTGAACCCAATCATCGACCCGGAGGGTTTGGCTTAAAGAAGTTTTCGTTGATGCTCCAGTTTTAGGCTATACGGCTAAACCCACATGATTCCATATGTAGCCATAGTAGCTTGAATTGGCTTATACTATAAGCCAGGGCAGTTATGATATCAACATATATGATAAGATATGTTTTTTTTGTTTTCCACTAACCTGTGTTTGTTGCATCAGTGTTTTATGTACACAACCAATCATGATTTTCATAATTATGATTGGTATCAACTTGCGATTTAATTGATTAATACTCGTAGATGTAGTCTAAGAGTTTTTCTTACTGGCTTTATGTATATCCTTTGATGTACATATCTCAAGGCATATGTTTCGCAAGGTTCACCCGATAGATGTTTTCCCTATTAAAATGATGACTTTCCATATGGCTATATAATATGTTAGTTTGTCAAAGCGTAACTTCCCAACAAATCGACATGGTTAAATTCAGTAAAATCCATTAAAATTCCACATGATTCTGATGAATACCCTCTGGTTATGTCAAAATAGCTATTGAAAATGGTGATTTTCCTAGTGGATTTACCCATTTGAAGATGGTGATTTTCCATCGTTTTTTGGGACTCTTTACTGGTAATGGGCATCCCCAAGAACTTGGTCCTTGGTATGTCTTGGCAGGACCTGGAAATGGGAACCACGCCCTTGGCGACCGAAGCCAGTTCCAGTGTTTTAGGTGGGGCCGCGTTGCTGGGGCGGCTCCGGGCGCCATGGGAAATCCCACGTTGATGAGATGTGCGTTGATATGGGAAACGGGTGATGTTGTCGGATTTTGGAGTGCCATGATTACCAGAGCTTGTAAGGAAACAATGAAAGTGATATATCGGATATATCGTCGATTTTTCAAGAGTGGGCTGTTTAGAATCAAGGCATTTGATGGCTATCATAGATTTTCCCACAGAAATTCAACCTGCTTGATGACCTGCGGGCTGCCCAACTGTTGTGTCGTCGGTTGTCCGCTGGTTTAGGATGTTTCGGGGAGCCCTCTTATTGTTACAAGAGCTCACCAGCACCAGCAAAACCATCAGGCAATATGGTTTTGAAGCACTGCTGAACTTGTTGAGAAAGACACAGTATCCCAGATAAGGCCATTGCAGCTTAAGGTTGCGTGCCCCATCACAAAGCCCAGGCCAATAATTATATGCCTTGTATAACTTCTAAGTGATTCGATTCGAGAACGCACCTCAGTTAAGAACTGAAAAACTCCCAGAATTTGTTAAGCACCCATTTTTCTACCAACCTATATAACATATATAAATTATGTTGTTTTTTTTGGTTTGGAGGGGGGGGCTAAGCAATAGGCTGCCTATAGGCTCCTATCCCCACCTCTCGTCAGGTGCTTCCATGATGTTGGCCTCGATGTTCTTCCGCGACTCGCTGAGGGGTCGTCGGGCCATTGCTCTGAGCATCTCAGTGTGTCTGGGCCAAAAAAAAAGCTCCAAGGGGGGACGTATGTGAGAATGATGACGATTTGTTTTTGGTTTGTTGCTTATTTTATATGTTTTCATATCTGTATAATTATATGTGTATATACATATATATATATATATATAGGCATGGTTGTAGCTGTTAAGTCAACGGTTGAGTGTATGTATACAAATATATATATATATATATATCATATTTCTTGTATGTTTTGTTCGTAGCAAAGCTATCCAGCTGTCCAACGATTGGGGTTCAGATGTTGATCCATATCCTGATACATCCTGATACCTGCGAAACTCATTTTCACCAAACACATGCAGTTTCAAGATGCTTGAGTATGGTGTTGTGGTAATAATTCCCGGTGTTTTTCAGCACAGTTACTGTATATAATGATTCTGTAGTGTTCATTCAAAATCAATTTCGACATGTCAAAGTCTTGGATCGTAGAGGCAAAATTGATCATGAATAGAAGCATTGGAAGATGCTATGTTGGCAGGGTACCCAAGTCTGGCACCAGAAAAAATCGTGAACATCACTCTTGGGGACGCATCTCAAAGTCCCTCAACATCCCAAGAAAACCATTGCGTGGTGACTGGCTGACAGTGGTAGGTGGATGTGGTCATGATTTTTCCGGGGCTTTCCCAAGTCACGGGGGATCCCAATAGCTGGTTGGTTAATGGAAAAAACCATAGCTGAGATGATTTGGAGGTACCCCCATTATAAGGGAAAATATAATGGGGGTACCAAATCATCTATTCTAATGGAAACCCATATAATGGAAAAACCCATATAATGGAAAAACCCATATAATAGCTGGTTGATTTGGAGGTACCACCATTTCAAGAAACCCTTATATGTTTATATGCATGTCTCCACAGGTTTCAGCAAGCAAACGCCCTGGGGCTCGCGCAAGATTTCCGGAGGTTTGTTCTGCTGCTACTGGAGATTGGCGCAGTGCTCTACTACAGTGATGTGCAGAAGAACTACATGACAGCTCTGCAGCAAAAGAATGAAGAAGCCTTCTACCATGGGTGTCCTGGAGCTGTTGGCCCATGTGGTTCATGTGGCCCAATCTTCATGTCTCAGCCTCCCCAAAACAAGCGGAGTGTGGATCTGACTTGGAGGTCTGAGTTGAATGGAGGGAAAATTTGCAGGAAACCCTGGTTCTGAATGGTAGCACCATAAATACTACCCTCCAGTAAACTGGAGAGAGAGAGAGAGAGAGAGTAAACTAACATGGCTATGTAAAATCACCATGTTTCATAGGTATATCAACTATAAATGTGCCATGATCAATAGCTATGTTAAATTACCAGAGGGTAAATACAATTGTTTCCTGAGTTTTTTGTTGGCTAAACAAATCCACCGGGGAGCTTACTACACGGGACGGGATCAAACTGACGGGCCATTGATCTGATCAGCTTCCATTCTGGGGAGACCGGCAACAACAGGGATTTACTGTGATTTATCTATTGTGTATTTCCATAGTATATGGAAACCCCAAGAATCTTGGCCAAGAATAGAAGTGGAACAGATGAATCATGTTTTTTCTTTCTGTACTGGCTTGGCATCGCCAGTGGTTTCACATATATGGCTGCACCAAAACCCCCCAGAATTGGTGTCTCTGAGGCTTTGGATGGTGGCCGCTGTGATTGTGTTTATCAGCCCTATCATCGCCCTGCACGAATACACTTCAGGCGACTGGCCACGAAACATGGAGTAGGAAGAGCACGGAACCGATGGGTTTGTTATGGGCTGCTCTGACTAGAACCTTGTTGACATTTATTTTCTTGGATGACTTTGAAATCTAGGACATGACAATCTGATTTGTTGATTTGTTTTGTCCGGCGAAGACCGAGATCATCCAAGATCACTGTCAGGGATTCCCCAAGTTTAACAAAGACTTGATATCACTTGATCCTCAACCACCTAGACCCTCCATGATGAAACACGGGGTAATATACCGATAGCATTTGATACCCTTTATGACTTGGGACTACCAATTTTTTATGGCTACAAACGGAGGGTCGATTCCTTGATGCCTGAAAGTCGAGTGAAAAGAGGAAACCACGGTGAATGGGCTTGGAACGCATATTTAATTGTCGATGGTTGGGGTGTCAACAATTTCTTAGGGCAATGGGATCAGTCTTGGTACTTTTTAACATTTCTTAGTCTTAGTTTGTCTTAGTCATGTTCACAGTTCCTTTTCCTGGTGTCGCACCTGGTGATACTTGATTGACACCAGAATTTCTCAGTAGCCCTCTGCCGCTGGCAGGTTTGCTGAAGATGACGTTTCGGGAGTCACTTACGAAGCGTTTCGCAGGGACCTACCTGGCTGCCCCCAAGTATGCCGAGGGCAACCCCTTCTATAGGCGGCTACCGGCCATTGGGCCATGGCCGGTGGATGAAGTCTCCCGTTTTCCCGTTCTCCCCATGTTTTTTAATCGACCAGGCCAACCACGATCCATGGAATCCATGGAATCCATGGTCCCAGAACGGTCCCAAATATGTTCTTCAATCATTTCCCATATGCTCCATGTATGGAATATTTACCAACATTTGCCGTAAAAATCACCCAAATGTAGGTAAATATACCATACATGGAGCATATGGGATTGTTTTTCGGGGGTCTTTAATCTTGGGGCAATGAGATTAAGAGCGAATGGATGGCAAAAATATACAAATGGTTGATGTTTGAAGAGGCACAAGAAGCGAATCCGCAGATACCCCTTGGGATGTAATGTGGTTTGAAAAACTGCTGTGAAGAAATGACAAGAACAAGAGTTGTGTGCCTGGAACATGCCACGCCAACCCCTTGTGGTGTTGCAAACTTTGGAACATGCCTTTCTCTATTATTGGTTGACGCTAATCTTAGGCAGTGTGTCCATTAAGATATAACTGGAGCATGTCGCGGGGGTGACTTGAGGAAAAGCTGGACAAGACCATGAATTTACCACTCTTCCATAAGTTCCACAGTAAAACAACGGACACATATTTGCCAACATCCTTTTTTTCGTGAGATTTGGCCTGTTCCAGCCAATACAAATGGCTCATACGATTTCCATCCAATGATCTAACCAGACTCTAACCTTTGGTAATCAAACATAGCCTGGAAAATCCCCAAGTCATAGATGATTTTCCCATATCTTCCCATATCTTCCCATAAAAACACCGCTCATTTCGTTCGGGGAGTCCGTCCTGCCTTTAAAAGCCGAAAAGCCGGAGAGGCTCACGATCACTGGGGAGATTGACAATCCGGACCAACGAATTTGCCAGGACCAAACTCAATGGGACAATCTTGGTGGATGGTGTATTTTAAAACAATGGTATTGGGTGGTTGTTTCTTTGGATTGATGATTGTTGGATATATTGATGTATTTTGTCAAATGTTTTTTTAAAGTTAATTATGACTGTGTTTATCTATTCATTTGCTTATTTATTTATTTGCTTACGGTATGCAAGATGTCTAAGTCTATCTATAGTCTATCTATGCTTGGAACATGTTGAAACGTTTGCAAACCCTCAGAGCTGCTTTGAACAGTAGCCAGTCCGGAAGGGCAGAAGGTACTGAACACGTTTGCCATGCCTTTGCTGGATCTTTCAGGGATTCCCCGCGACCAAATGCAATATATATATATATAATTTATATAATATAATATTTATTGTTGAAATCAGCATCCTACATACTCCGAGAATGATGGCCCAGAGGAGAAATAGTAGCACTTTGAATCGTCATGGTAGCGTAAGTCCCATACGACCCAGGGGACCCATAGCCCGTGCCGCTGTGGCTGATCAGCGGCTGGTCTTTGCAGAGCGCTTCAGACCTACCTAGACATTCCTGTGTTTGACCTGGGCCCATAGGATCTTCCTTGTCTTGGTTTCGATCATTGCCGTTGGGATTGGTGCGATCGAGATGAGCGGTGTTCCAGATGGAGGAATTGGGAGCCCTACGAGTCCTCAACAAGCAGCGGCAGCGGCGGTTCAAGCAGGCGCTGCTGCGGGGCTGACACAAGAGCAAGTCCTGATACAGATGCAAGCCCAAATGCAGGTTCAACAAGACATGCTTCTTCAGCAACAGGCTCAAATGCAGGATGTCATGGCGAAGCTGGCTGAGTCCAATGCGAGGACGTTGAGAGCTGAGGAGGAGCGCCATCTGGCGTTGAAGGCTTTGAGTAGAAGTGAGGAGCTGGTTGATGCTCGTGGAGTTGGACAGCCCTTCAAATTCAGCGGCAAGGTAGATCAGGATTTTTCAGAGTGGGATCACAAGATGAGAACTTTCTTGCGAGCCAAGTTCAGAGCTGATGTGGATACAGTTTTGCAATGGGCAACAAAGCAGAGGAAGGTGATCATGCGCTACACGGATGGCTCATCGAGGACCTCTTCATGGGATCCTGTCTTTGGGGATTCAGCAGATGCTCTTGACCAAGTTGAAGGAGTAGACAAAATGGTGGAAGGCATCTACGCCTACCTGGTCTCTTTCACAACAGGGGAGGCCAACAAGGTCGTCCGTAACTCTGGAACGGATGGGCTGGAGGCTTGGCGTCGAGTTCATGCTGAATATGACCCGACGTCTTCAGTCCGAAGGGTTGCGGTGCTTGGCATGGTGCAGAATCCTCCCAAGTGCAAGAGCGTGGAGGAATTGGGAGGAGCTTTAGAAGATTGGTTGGCCAAGAAGAGACAATACGAGGAGTTCACAGACAATGATGGCCGACCCTGCCGTGTGAGCGATGATTCGCTTTTGGCAGCAATGCATCAGCTGATGCCCCAGTCTTTGGAGGAGAGCCTGATGCTTCGACAAGATGAGTTCACAACCTATGAGGAGCTCTTTGACAGGTTGTCCAGCTTTGCATCTACGAAACACAGCTTGCACATCTCCAGACGAGAGCTTGGGTCTAGCAGTGGAGGTGGAAAGAAGAAAGATGACAACGCTATGGACATTGGGGCGTTGAATGCAGTCTCGAAGTCCAAGGGCAAAGGAGGCAAGAACATCACCTGCTACAAGTGTGGGCGACCTGGACATCGTGCAGCCGATTGTCGCAGTGGAGGCAAAGGTTATGGCAAGGGAGGAGGAGCTTCTCAGGGCAAGCGCATGGACAATGTTCAGTGTTGGGTTTGTCATGGATATGGCCATTATGGTAAAGATTGCCGTCATCGAGCTGACAACAAGGGCAAAGGCAAGAACAAGTCCAAGAACGACGGCAAGAGCAAGTCGAAGAACTCTGGCAAAGGCAAGGGCTATGGGGGTTCGAACAATGCTTCTTCCTTGGAAGCGGTGCCCAATACGACTTATCGTGAACCTGGAGCAGAACCTGAATGTGGCAAGGACTTGGGCTATTTGGATCTATGTGCTTGTGATCATTGCGGTGAAGTTTGCATGGTTGGTGGATCCGACACGAGCCAAGATGACAGCATGGAGGTCGAGATTGAGGGCCGCAAGCCTGACTACTTGGTGGAGTATGACGGTGAGGAGTGGATCAAGGTGAACTACGACAGTGGTGCGGTGACAACAGTCATCCCAGTTGAGATGGTGGAGGACGATCTCAAGCTCCACCGCATCGGTGACTTCAAGGTGGCCAATGGAGAGAAGATCCCGCGCTATGGGAAGATCAGGATGCCTGTGATGGATGAGCGTGGCAACCGGCGTGGGATAAGTGCAACGGTGACCCATGTTCACAAGCCTCTTGGGTCTGCCGGAGAATTCAGCAAGAATCATGACGCCTACCTTTGGAAGGATGGTGGCATTCTTCTTCCTCGCAATGGAGCTTTGGCCACTGAGATGCGCAACCACTACAAGAGGATCACAAGGCAGTTCAGCGATCAGCAGGTGATCCCCCTCTACAAGGAAGGCAACCTCTACAACTTCTATGTGCAGAAGCGGGGCAAGATGGCTGAGATCTGTGCCATTGACAGTGGCAGTGATTCCTCGTCGGCAAACAGCCGGCAGGGATACCCGTAAGGCCGAGCCCAGATGAGGCTGGTGGTGGGCCTGGAGGTCCTGTTGCTTGGAGAGGATGGGAGATGATGAGACAGGGGCTGGATCCGATTCAGCCGCATTGGCAAGCATATGAGCCAAGCAGCAGAGGGCCGCCACCGGGGTTGCCTGAGGATGTTCAGTGTTGGAAGAGGACAGACAGAGATTGTTTCACATTTCGGGCCACGTCTCAAGATGGGCCTGATTGGGCTGATGTAGTTTGGAGGAGGAGCATAGATGAAGAGACCGATGAGGTCTTGCGAGAAGAGTCTACGCTTTCTCCTGAATTCAATCCACACGCTCATTTTGAGCCGTGGTGCAAGAAGATGGTGACTGAGCTGTGGTTTGTGCCTCCGCCCATTGACTCCAGGGGTGTTGTCAAATCAGACAAGGCAGATCGTCCGAGCAGAAGACAGATTGAGGAGCATGCCCTGGAGAACCATGCGGTTTATCGCAGCTGGTGCCCGGCCTGCGTTGAAGGTCGTGCAACGGGCTCTAAACATCGAGCTCGGACGGAGGCAGAGAAGGAGGAGCGTGGGCCCACTATCCATGCTGACTTCTTCTACATGTCAACTGAGGAGGACTCAGCACCATTTTTGGCATTGAAGAGCGGGATGTCTGGGAGACTTCAGGCCATTGCTTTGGAGTCGAAGACTTCCAACGAGTATGTGCAGAAGGCCATTGCAAGGTTTGTTGAGGAGACAGGGCACAAGAGGGTGGTCTTCATGTCTGACAATGAGCCGGCGCTGGTCAAACTCAAGCAGGATGCGGCGGTGAAGCTTCGCAATGTCGAGGTGGTCCATCGCACGGCTCCAGTGGGAGATCATCGTGCCAATGGCAATGCTGAGGTGGCAGTGCGAGAGATCAAGCGTCAGATGAGGTCCATCAGGATTTCTTTGGAGCAGAAGTTGAAGGGCAAGATCTCAAACACGAGTCCTTTGCTGGCGTGGATGGCACCTTTTGCGGCTCATGCCATCAACTGCTACCGTCGAGATGCGACGGGCAAGACACCATATGAGAAAGAGTTTGGCCGGAAGTGGAGCAGACCGGCATTGGAGTTTGGTGAGGTCACCTACATGCGAGAAGCGGTGGAGAAGGACGGCAAGCCGAAGAGAGATTGGGAGCAGCGGATGATTGAAGTCCGCTATGTTGGGCATCATTCGCGTTCCGGTGCAATTCTTGGACTTACTCCAGATGGCCTGCGTGTTGGTGCTGCTGTGAGAAGGCTTGGAGAAGATTTGAGGTGGAAGTCAGAAGGGCTAGATGAGCTTGGCGGGCTTCCATGGGATGTCAAGAAGAGAGCTGTTGGAGAGAGGCTGGAAGGTGGTCAACGTGCTCCAAGGTTGCCGCCTCCGGCACCTGACACGCCTGATGCAAGGGCGTTCTATGTTCAGAAGAAGGACATTGACAGGTTTGGTTACAGTGAGGATTGCCGTGGATGTAAGGCCTTGAGAGAAGGGAAGCGTGCAGTGGCCCACAGCAAGCAGTGCAGAGACAGAGTTTATCAGTCACTGTCTGAGTCGGATGGAAAGATCAGGACTCAGCGTCACTTTGAGAGAGTATCCAGCAGACTTGAGGTGAGGCTGGAGCATGAGGCAGAGGAGGCAAAGAAGAGAAAGGTTGCGGTTCAGCCCGCATCAGAGGGCGAGAGGTTGGCCATTGAAGATGCGCCGGCGGCATCGGCAGTTCAACCGGGTGCTGCAGAGACTTTGGGGCGCAGACAAGATGAAGGTCAAGAAGGATCTCCGAGATCACCGAAGAGGTGGAAAACAGATGGCCATATGAGATACAAGCGTGAGGCTGAGACCCCAGTGCAAGAGTTGGAGAGTGGTGGTGCGGCAGGCTCCACAGATCAGGCTCAGACTGTTTTGCAGCCTGCTGCGAGTGATGTGCCGCCGGTGATTTCGGCGGGTGATGTTTCCATTGAGGATGTCTTGGCGCCTGAACCTCATGGACAAGCTGATGCTGGAGGTGATATCTCAAGCATCGACTGGGGAGCCTATGAAGCGGTGGAGATGGCTCCATCGAAGTGCAGGTCTTTGTCTTCACTGGACTATTGTGAGCGGAGGCTGTCAATGAGGAGGAAAGAGCTTGGCAGTGTGGATGTGGCAGAAGTTTTCTCGCCGCCGAGATTCACGTTGAGAGCTGGCATTTTGGGCTTGGCTCCGGGCTTTGCTGTGGATTTGGCTACGAAGAAGCCGATTGTGGGCAAGGAGGATGAATACTGGGATTTGAACAGGTCAGAGGACCGTTTGGAGTTGGACTGGTTGATTGACAAAGAGGACCCGGTTCTTCTTACTGGATCCCCTCGTTGCGATCCATTCAGCTTGCTTCAGAACCTCAGCAAGGAGTACAGAGATAACCCAGTGAGAAAGCTTCGCCGAGAAGAAGGTGAACAACATCTACGGCAGTGTGTGGATCTCTACATCAAGCAGATGTTGAGGGGTCGCTATTTTCTTCATGAGCATCCTGCAGGTGCAGATTCATGGGATGTTCAAGAGATGATTGAACTCCAGCGCATGGAGGGAGTCTACACGGTGTCGGGGCCAATGTGCTTTTGGAACATGAAGTTGAAGACCCCGAAACTTGGTGCTGGCAAAGTTTACAAGAACACCAAATGGGTGACCAATTCGCGTGAGATTGCAGAGGTGTTGGACCAGTACTGCACAAATAGATGTGGGGGCCCGATCCATCGACACATTCCTTTGGTTGGTGGCTTGGCGCATCTATGTGAAGCTTATCCAGTGGAGTTGGTTGATGCGACATTGGAGGGGCTCAAACGGCAGATGAGGGCAGACAATCATGTCAGTGCTTTGGAGCTTTTTGCGAGTGGTCCTGATCCGACAGAACCTTTGTTTGATGCGGAGACCGAGAAGTTGATGGAAGAGGAGGTGCAGGAGTACTTCGACGACATCAGTGGCGAGGTGCTTCCTTCAGAACTGGTTCGCAAAGCGAGGCAGGAAGAGATGGACTGGATCAAGAAGATCGAGCTCTATGACAAGGTGCCTCGCTCTATGGCTTTGGAGCGCAACAAAGCCGTGCTACCTGTTCGTTGGGTAGATGTCAACAAAGGCGACAGGTCCGCCTACAAGTTGCGGAGCAGGATCGTTGGAAAGGAGCTCAAGGTCAAAACCAAGGAATCCCTACTGGCACATGAGCTTTTCAGTGCGACTCCGCCCTGGGAGTCGGTGAAGAGTTTGTTTTCACTCCTAGTGACTGACCTACCTAAGAGTGCAACAGCTGGTGGACAGGAGCTGGTCATGGGGGTCTATGACATTTCCCGCGCACACTTTATGCCGAAGGTAGAGCGGGAGCTATACATTGAACTACCTCCTGAAGATCGAGTTCCTGGTGAGGATCTGGTTGGGAAGCTGAAGCGAAACATGTATGGCTTCCGTGATGCAAGCCATGGTTGGATGAAAGACTGGCAGAAGCTTTTGGAAGGTGGTGGATACCGAGTTGGTGCTGCAAACCCTGCTTTGTTTTACAACGAAGAGAGCTGTTCTCGAGGTGCGGTTCATGGTGATGATTTCTACGTTTTGGGGCCAGTTGCAGCGGTGGACAAGATGAAAGAGCTTTTGGGTTCAAAATATCAGATGCGTGAGGCCCATCGCCTTGGTTTTGGTGAAGGGTGTGTTCGCTCTGCAACAGTGCTCAACCGAGTTGTTCAACTAGGTTATGACGAAGGAGGACGGCGTTGTGTTCAGATCGAGCCTGACAAGAGACATGTGGAACTGATTTTACAAACAGCTGGTGTGAATCCAAACAGTTCAAATGGCGTGACTACCCCTTCAGTCAAGCCTACGGAAGAGCAGGCTCACCAGTTGCAGTTCTCGGCAGAACTACCACCACAACAAGCTTCACAGTATCGTTCAGCAGTGATGCGAGCGAGTTTCTTAGCCCAAGAACGTTGTGACCTTGCAGAAACAGTGAAACGTCTTGCTCAGGGCATGTCTCGCCCTAGGCTGGCGCACTGGGAGATGCTCAAGCGAATGGCGAGGTATCTGGTCTTCAGACCGAATGTGGCTTTGGTCTATCGACAGCAACGGATGCCTGACCATGTGAGAGTTTGTGTAGATTCTGACTATGCTGGGTGCAAGGTGGGTAGGAAATCAACAACTGGTATGGTTCAGTTTCTTGGAGGGCATGTTCAAGGCGACCAGCAACTTGCAGACAGTCATTGGTTTGAATGTTTCTGAATCTGAATACTACGCTTTGGTTCATGGGACAGCTCATGGTTTAGGCCTACAAGCATTCATGTCAGATTTGGGTTTGAACTTTGGCTTGGTGATAGAAAGCGATAGCAGTTCGGCAAAGGCATTCGCTTCGAGAGTTGGCTTGGGAAAACAACGTCATGTGATGACGAGATATCTCTGGCTGCAACAAGTGGTTCAAGCAGAAAGGGCAGTTATTCGCAAGATTGGAACTGCCCACAACCCTTCAGATATCATGACAAAATCAAGCAGTGGCGCAACGATCGACAAGCACATGATGGCGATGAGTGTGGTGGTGTTGCCTGAAGCATCATGCTTGCAAAAGAGCATACACGTGCCAGGCTCCACTACCAATTGCATGCCTGCTTCGACGTAATACACGTCTTAGCAGAGGAGGAGTGTTGAAATCAGCATCCTACATACTCCGAGAATGATGGCCCAGAGGAGAAATAGTAGCACTTTGAATCGTCATTATATATATAATATTTATATATATATATGTAATATTTATATATAGTATTATATAATATTTATATATATATATAATTGATCTACGCTTTCACAGGGTCCCATGGTTGCTTCCTTGAGGGCCAGTCTCTGAAGCTGCCCATCATGGAAACTTGCCCCTGCAAATTACATAACGGCCGGAGGGAATTTCCTTTCCAAATGCGCCGCAGCAAGATCCTACCAGAATTAGTGGCATGTTTTTCATATGTTTTCTATCTTTGGGGGTCACTACATATGGGGAAACCACCTTGACAAGCGATGATGCCGGAATATATTCACACATGTGCATAGACACATTTGCCTTTATACCTGCATATGCATACTTACATCATGGAAAATCCTGTGCAGATAGCCTGGAACATCGTGAGTTTTGCAGAAATTAGTTTTAAGATCAACCTAAAGGTTGACCCAGCCATATCTATTGTCCGTGTGAGTAACGTAGCGAATTTAGATTCGCAGATATGTTATGCAGGGCGCATTTGATTTGCATCTTCAAATAGAAAGGAACCTGCCCGAGATGGTTGGTGCATTTCATTCCATTTCGTCGGCTCAGCAGCAGGATGTGCAAGACTTTGTCCACATAGCTGTTCACTTGGTACAAGATGTGGTCAGGACTGCTGGTGGAGGTCTGACAAAAAGTCGTTCCACGCAGGGCTGATTAGCCAGCGAGCTCACTGGCTGATTTGGCAGCCAATCTCACTATATCTCACTATTAGTATGATGGTTAGGAAAAAATCATCACAAGAGAATGCCTATTTCATCAGGTTTGTGAATTACTGATGCCCAGATGATGGATTGGGATGCCTTCCAGTAACGTCATTTGGCGTGCTGTAAGCATTCACAGTTTCGTACTGGTCGAATTACCTTCCCGTAATCAAACATGGCAAAGGAACAGCCACCATGAATAGTTGATTTTCCAATTACCCTCTGGTTATGACTAACATAGCCATGGTTTTTCGATGGCCCATAGAAATAGATGATTTTCCCATTAATAGCATGGTGATTTTCCATGGCAAACTGTAGTCATAACCAGATGGTAACATCTCCATTTCATCAGGGATTTTCAGGCATTGTCCAAGATGTCCAAGCCTTGTCATGTTTTGTATGACAGGAGGGTGTCAGGTATCAGCGCAACAGGACCTTCTTGAACATCTTCGGTTTCGCTGCCGTCCTCTATTCCATCTCTCCGGCGGCCTGTGACCAGCTGCAAGGAATGGAATACTGAAGGGAGTTCCATGGTTTGGACATCACCAGATTGTTATTTTACATGTAAAACAACATATTAGGATTTGACACACCAAAAAAAGGGGGTCCAATCGGCTGAGAGCGGCGCAGAAAACTTAGTGAATTTTGGTGAATTGTAGGTAAGGGGTCGCTTTCTGGCCCAGCAAATGGGAGAACAACTCCTTAAAGAAAAAAACATTGTTACTGGAGTAAGCGTCGGGAGAATTCTATGTAAATGTAATTCTGAGCTTTGAAATGATGATCAGCACGTTCTAGCTGAGACACATTTTTTGACCACGCGTCACCCCACATCCCTGTTGGATATTGGAAAGGACGACCCCTTCCACTGAGGTGTTGGAGTGTTGCTGTACTCCATCACTGGCACGCTAGTAGCCACCACAGGCCAGGCAATGGGTTTTCCGATGTCGGAAGAGTTTGGAATTTGAGATTTATTCACTGGATGGTGCCAAAAAAAACCAGTTGGCCTCTATCCCTTGGTTTGAGTGAAAGTAAATTTAACAGCCGCCTGCATTGAATGCTTAACTGGCTTGATTTGAATTGTCAATGATTTCTTAGAGACCATTCATTGAGTGTTGATTTTTGTTCTCGATCAGAACCTCCTTTGAAACAATGTTTCTTATGTAACCCCCCAATATGTTCAATGGATTGGTTTAAGGGACAATTTACAGGAAAGCCCCATGAATTTCATGGGAAAATCGATGGTTTCCGATTAAGATTGTCCCAAGAAAACCAATTCATTGAGTATTGAGTTTAACCATCATTTCCCAGGTTTTTTTTTCCCATCATTTCCCCATATGTGTATAGCCTCAAGTTGGAAAGTTCTAGAATGACCCCCCCTGGGTTCTGCGAGCCAAAGTTCTAACCCCCGGTCGCGTAAACATTGTCGAACTTCGGAAGTTTGTATAATACGGTATGATATTATGTAAGTATGATGATATATGATCGGTGCAGGTTTTGTTCAGGTATTTGTGATCCCTAGTGAGCCGGTGGTTGAAAGCAATTTGCCAGTTTGATCCTCCTGTTGAAACCATGGTTTATGATGATTTACAAGGCTCGATTGCACTATCTCGCGACAACATGGCCGAACCAATGCATTTTTTGGGGGTTCTAAGACCCCCCTGTAGGATTCCATTTTAGAAACAATTTGTGTGGTCAAAAATGGTGCACAAGGGGGTCTGAGCCAACTTGAGAGGATATATTTGTCATGTATTCCAATGATATCACCATTTTTGGGCAGCAACTCAGTCTGTGGATCTGCTGTGCTTGGAGAGGTTTTGGCCCTCTGATCGGCTTCTACCAGTTGGAGCGGGTGAAGCAGGAAGCCAACCTACGTGACTCGGGTGATCTCGGGTGAGTTGTAAGGAGATGGAGAACTGCGGCAGTTCGGACAGTTGATTAGTTGATATCAATGGTGATTGATGGTGGTTATATAATGGGATAACACTGGGATAACAATGGGATGTTGTGATTAATGATTAATATTAATGGCGATTTATGGTGATTAGTGGGAATATTCATGGTGATAATGGGATATTAATGGGATGTTCACGGGATGAACGGGGGGTCAAGCAATGTCTTGGAAGTAGGACAGTTATGGTTAGTTGATAATTATTCATATTACCCTCTGGTGATGAACCATTCCGTAATCCTCCAATTTATAGATGATTGTCCCATTAAAACCTTCATAGGGCAGGGTCACGTTTGACTACCGGAGGGTAACTTCAAGGACTGTGATATTTAATGGGTACAGGACGTGATTTTTATTTGTCAAAGCTGAGGTTCTGGCTCTACACCTTCCAGCGGTGAGCCCGACACAGCTAAGAGTAGAGACCCCGTAGTCACATCCCATGGACCTTCTAGTGAAAGGCCTTGAACCCAGCAGCCGCTTCTGCATTGTGGCCAAACTTGAAGGTATCCGAGGTGGCGCACTCCAGTGCCGAGGCATATCTCCTGAGCAGTGCTTCCAGATCTTTGATGCTCCCGAGCTTGTCGAGGGCATCTACACGTTTGTTGACCTTGTCAAAGGCGATCAGGACTTGACAGCCCGCACATTTGGTGAAACAACTGAAGCCTTCAAGCATCCACAGAAATCTGACTTCCAGAGAGTTGCCATTTACGACTTGTGTAGTGGCATGGGTGGATTCACAATTGGTTCCAAAATTGTAGGCATGTCCACAGCTGCATTTGTGGAACGAAATGAATTGGCATGCATGGCTCTTCGTGCCAATTTTGAACAACCCATCCTCCATGGTGATGTTGCAGACCCCGAAATCCTGAAGCAGCTTCTTAAGCTGAAACAGGAGTGTTTCATCCAGGTGACTGGAGGCTTCCCATGCCAAGGTTACTCCAGACAAGGAGATCAAGGTGGATTGGATGACATGCGCAGCCATACCATCCATCGCATCTTGGACATTGCCTGGTTTCTTCAGGCTGATGCAGTTCTTCTCGAGTGCGTTGCCAATGTCACCCAGTTTCCGGAGACACAGGAGTGCATCGATAGATATGCAGCCTTGGCCAGCATGTCTTGCCACAAGCTTGTCTTCGACCTCCAACACCAATGGCCATGTAGACGCAATCGCTTTTGGTGCCACATGATTGCCAAAGACTTTCCTGCGATCCACATCCCTTCATGGCCCTCTACATTGGAGTACCAGAGCTTGCAGGACATCATGCCACTTGATGCCATGTGGGCGCCTGCTGATGAACAACAACTTCAATGGGATGAGGCAGAGATGGCCATCTACATGGATCCTAGTTTTGGATCAGATCAACGCATCCTTCGACCCAATGACAAAGCTCCAACTGCTTTGCACTCTTGGGGCCATGTCACACGGCCTTGCTCATGCGGATGCCGACTTGCCTTCAGTGCCCAACGGCTACAACAAGGCGGAGCACGTGGTTTTGGATTGGTGTCAGCATGCACTGGACGTTGTCGTCATTTGCATCCTTTTGAAGGAGCTCTTTTGTGCACAGTCCCAGGCGATTTTTGCTTTCCAATGCCACCACGTGCAGCACTATGCCTGCTGGGCCAGATTGCTGCACCGTTGCAGGTGCTGTGGGTCCAATCTCACATTCTGGCTGGACTACAATTTCATGCATGGGGCTGGACTGGCATCGACCCATCCACTTGTATCAAGTTTTTCCAGCAATGCCTTGTTGACCAAGTCAAACGCAGATGGATCACTCCTTTGATGTACCAGCCAAGACAAATCCAGATTGGCATTGAGGATGAACAACAAGTCATCACAGTGAGCCTCCACCAGCCTGCTACGGTTATGGACCTTGCCACAGCCGAGTGATCTTTGTGCGGTTGGGGGCACTATGCAATTGTGAAGCAAGATGGACATCGCTTGCCACTGGACACACTACTCCATGCAGGAGTCAAATACACAGTGGAGCTTCGCAAGAGTGCGCAAGTACGACCTTTCTTGGCCGTTCCCATCACTGGTGGTGGACCTGCTGTCACCGACCTTGGACTTGGGGACCACACAATCTGGCCATATATGAAGGCACTGGCATCATGCTTTGGGAAGGAGTTTGCCTGTCCTGAGCCCTGGGTGACATATCCATTTCGAGCCAACCAGCTCCTTCAACTCCAACTACATGAAGCAGTACGGCAGTCATGGCAAACCAGCTACAATGCGTCCAACGGGCATGTCTATGTCATTTGTGAGCTGGACTGCCATTGGTTTTTGTTGACTGGTCGCCCTGATGACAGGAAGCGTGGACTTACCTGGACCCTATACGATGGACTTCGACAGGGTCATCAGCTTCCCATTCTTGTTCAGGTGGCTCAGAAGCTTTGCTATGCACTGGATTTGGATTTCCTTGGTCTATGCATGGGTCATGGACTTTTACAAGCCCAGCCATTCACATGTGGTACCATTGCACTTGTGCACATGGCGTTGGACTTATGCCTTACCACTGTGGATGCACACTTTGATCTTCAAGAGCTTCACACCTGGCTACTTGCAGGGCCAACGGGTGGTACCATTTTTGCTGGTGGCCCCAATCTGCCCATGGATTTGCAGACCAAGTTGGCCACACTACTTCAACAGCATGGAGTTCCCGCTGAAGCAGTTCCTGAGCGAGTACAACAAGTCACCTTGAAATTGGGTGTGTCCTCTATCAAAGAAGCCTTTGAAGCCAAGAACTGCTGGGCCTACTTGAAGGCCATAGCAAGCCGCCCTTCCATCTCCATGCGGTTGGTCCTCCCGGACGAGCTCTCCCGACATGTGGCTGCGACTGCAGCCACCAAGTTTGGAGCCCAGGTGACCCAGGCCAAGCAAAAGAAGAAAAAACAGGAGCACAAGGCACCTCCTCGACCACTCAACCCTGATCCCGAACAGTTGGTCTTGGCGCACACCAGCTTCCAAGATCCTGATGGTGATGTGGTCGAACAGATCCCTTTCAATGACGTTGAGGCTGAAGCCACTGGGGTTGCCATTTGCACATTGGCACAGGCATATCACTTCATGCAATCAAAACAATCCATCAGTACAAGACCGTTGGCGATCCTCACTACGGAAAGGCCACCCAAAGAGTACATGGAGGAGCACTGTCTCACTGAAATCTCCTTTGCGGCCAAGTACACAGGCACTGGTGAACCAATTCTCATCTTTGGAGCCCTCAAAAACTTGGGAGACATTGAGCTCACTCGTCACATTCCTGGTGCTGCTGAACAACCGTCTTTGGTGTCAACACAAGTCATCAAAGTCCAGGTCTTTCGAGATGAATACCAAGGCGATTGGCAACTCCTGGCACAATCCCCAGTACGAGCTCTATGCCAAGCTGTCCCTCTTCTCCAGCTTTGCCCAGGCAAAGACTGTGGCTCTGACTGCCCAAAGTCCCATGCTGCCGTTGATGAAGAGCTTGACTCCATACTTCTCGAAATATGGTCTCGGACTTTTACCAAGCTTGAGGGGGGCAAGATCTCAGCATCTGAGGCACAGATCTTCGGTGTCTTCCTGCGCATACCTGAGTCCATCTTGGACACGCTCCTGCAGAGTGGTACTCCAGGCATTTACTTTGAACCAAGATCAGCTGTCACCAAAGGCCATGATGAACGATATCGGGTGATTTGGCTATCAGCCCGAACCTATGATGAAGCCATTCACACATGCCGTACCAACATTCATGCCCTTGGACTTGTTCGAATGAAGCGCAAGTATGGCATTCGGGTCATGGCTGAACATGAAGAGCAGACCTTCAAGCAGATTAAGCCTGACGCCACATGGGTCAATGCCCAAGTGCAACGCATTTTCCAACTCTTTCCTTTGCCACATGGACTTCAACGAGGTGGTGTGATTAAGCTCCTCAAAGATCATGACTGGGCCGTCAAACCCCTCCAGCCTGGCAAAGGCAGTGCCGATGCTATGTCTTGGCAAGTCGGGGCCGCTACCCCACCACCAAGTGACATCATCACTGGCTTTGGGAAAGAAATCCTGATCACTGAGATTACCCGTGAGGGCAAACCAGTTCCACCACCCAAATTGGTGGCATCGGCCAAGACCCAACAGCACCTGCGGGCTGAAGCATCGGCTCCTTCCTCAGCCTCAACTGCAGCACCTGCAGGCGATCCTTGGATGCTCCCTGGACGTGACCCATGGAAGCCCACTGCGATGCCCAAGAACCCAAATCAAGGTAAGAGCCAACTCAAGGAGGTCACTGGCAACTTGAAAGATGAGCTTGCGGCAGCCATGGATCAGAAGTTTGCCGAACTTCAATTGGATGCCAAGCACCAAGAGCCAGATGGGTTTGCCGAGCACAAGGCTGACAGTCTCCAGAGGTTTGCCAAGCTTGAGACCTCACTGGGGGAGATGCAAGCTCAGCAACTTCAGTTTTCAGGATGGTTCACCAATCTTCACCAGCAAGCTCAACTGGCTGAGACCTCAATCCAGGGCATTCAATACACTTTGAATACCCACCAAGCTGAACTCCAAGGGCTGCATCAGGACATCAAAGGGGTGTCGGAACAGGTGGGACAAGCTGTACACTCAGCATTGCAGAACCACAAAGCGGAAGTGTCTCACGATCTTGACACACGTTTCGATCGTTTGGAAGCCCTGTTCAGCAACAAGAAGCACAGGAGTGAATGACTATACCGGGCGCAGTCTGCATGTGGGTTTTGCAGATTGAAACGCCCTAGCTTCTTTAATCTATGTTTGCAGCTTCTCATCTTTTTCTGGCACTTTGCCATGAGTTCGGCCCTGCAAGTGCCCCTTGCCGACCAGTACGTTCCCAGCGCAGCATCCAAGGATGACTGCGAATTTCGGTCGGGGGCCGGCCAAGCAAAAATTGGAATCTGGAATGCACCAGCCCAACAAGATGGTGCTTTTCACAGTATATGGAGTTCAGGCCACCGTTTTGGGGAGGCCCAACATCCTGGGCCATACCATGATCTTGTCATTGGCACCACCAACCCTGGGGGCCTACGTTCCAAGGAAGCTCTGGCTGTATCTCAAGGGGCTGGCATTTGGACTTATGCAGAAACCCAACTTTCAGCCTTCACTCAAGTTTCTTCAAGTAAGGCACTGAAGTTTGCGGCTCGTCAGGACAACCGCTTGCTGAGAACATACTTCAGCGCCCCAGCACCTTTGAGAAGCCGCTCAGACTGGGCGGGCACATGGACAGGTGTTGCCTGCACCTCTGATTTTGGTTCCAAACAACTGCGAATCGATTGGCCTCCTGATCTTTGGAACTCAGGAAGAGTCTTGGCGACACAACATCAGATTGGGCACCACAGTGTCACAGTGGTATCCCTCTATGGTCTTCCACGTGGGCCAACATGGCCCCAAGCAACCTCTTTGATGAATGACATTCTGGCGTTTCTCACCAAGACCTTCATTTATGGACATTCTGGATTGGTTGCAATTTGTGGGGACTTCAACTTTAGTCCCCACGAGTTGGAGCACTTCCACCTCTGGCGTGCGGCTGGGTGGCAATCTGCTCAGGACATGGCCAGCATGCCATGGGGCCACCAATGGCAACCTACCTGCAAAGGGGCCACTGAACGAGACTTGATCTGGCTGTCACCGGCGGCTCAGACACTCTGCAATGAAGTTCACATTGAAGACCTCTTTGCAGATCACAGTTCGGTTTCAGTGACGCTTGCAATTTCAGAAGCACCAGCCTCCGTTTTGACATGGCCCAGACCACAAGAGATTTCATGGGATCAGGTTGAAGTTGATCAATGGCATGAACATTGCTGGAGTTGCAACATGGTGGAATCAGAAGATGCAACAGACTTCATGGCCAAGTTTTCACGTAGCATGGAAACTACACTTGCTGGCTTTGTTGGGCCCTTCGGGGGTTCACTCCCAGTGGCACAGCGGGGCAGATCACAGCGTCTCAAACCTGAAAAGCAACAGCTGCACCCGCGTTCTTGCAAAGCTAGTCGTCCAGGTGAAGTGGAATTGAAACATGATTTGGTTGGAACTGCCTGCTTGCAATGGTTCAGACAGCTTCGGCGATTGCAGTCCTACTGCCACTCGATCAAGGCAGGAAAACAACATCAAGAAGCACTCCATTACAGAGCTGCTTTATGGACTTCAATACGAAAAGCTGCAGGGTTTCAGCCGAACTTCATTGACTGGTGGGATCAACAAGAATTTCAACCAGTTACAGGGCCACTTCCCCCTCATCCACCAGATGCTGTTTTGGCTTCCATGATTTTTGATGCTTTTCACCATGCATTTCGAGCTTTTGAAAGGTGGCATCTCTCACAGAAGAATCGACTGATCCAGGCGAAGTATGACAAATCTCATGCGGCCGTCTTCAAGGACCTTCGCGACCCAGCACCAGACCAAATTGATAGCCTTTGGACTTCCAAGGACTTCACCGTCCTTGCTGTTAGACCTGGCTCCAAAGCAGTCCTGTTAGGCGCCCCAGTTTTTCCTTTAGAAAGACCGGCATGGTATCACAACGGTTGTGGGCTTTCCGTTGCTGGATATCAAGATGAAATGCTGGTTTTTAGCCAATGGCCTGAGTTAGAAGTTGGAGATGTCATCACACTTTGTTCCCACACCAGCTCGGATGCAGAAGTACATGAAAAGCTAATGGCACTCTGGAAGCCACGCTGGCAACAACTTCATGCAGTAGATCCAGACCACTGGACTCGCATTATCAACTTCATCCAAGGCTACATGCCCAGTTTTGAATTCGTTTTGCCGGACATCACACCGGCTCAGTGGATGCGGACTGTGAAACGTTTCAAGCCAACCGCCGCCAGAGGCGCAGATGGATATGCCAAGCAGGATCTTTTGTACATGTCACCTGCTCATGTCCAAAATTTACTTCAGTTTTTGATGCGCATTGAACTTGAAGGCCAAGCTTGGCCACAGCAATTGACAGAAGGCATTGTTTTGGCGCTTGCCAAGCACAGTGAAGCTCATGAAGCTGGGTCTTATCGGCCCATCGTTCTCTTCAGTATCATCTATCGCTGCTGGGGCTCACTCCGTTCCAGGCAGCTCTTGCGGATGATCGAGAGCTTTGTTCACTCAGATGCTTTTGGTTTTTTGCCCGGGCGAGAAGCCATGCAATCATGGCTGCAAATCCAAGCCAGTGTGGAACTTTCTCTTGCGTCAGGGGAAGCATTGTCTGGCCTTGCAGTGGATTTTGTCAAGGCATTTAACCATATACGCCGACCACAATGGTTTGCACTGGCACGACATCTGGGGATACCTGAACGAATCCTGCAGCCATGGCGCAGGTTTCTTACATGCTTCACCAGACGCTTTCAGGTGCACAACCACCTGAGCGCCGCATTGACCTCTGACATTGGTTTTGCAGAAGGTGATCCCTTGAGCGTGCCGGCAATGGCAATTCTTGACTGGGCGCTCCATGTGTACCAGGCACATTTGCACCTTTGACCAGGACGCTGTCTTTTGTGGATAACATCTCCATGATGTCCTTGTCTGCACTTCACTTGGTTTGGGCCTTCTTTTCATTACGGTCTTTTCTGGATCTTTGGGGTCTTGATAGATATTGGAAAGTCGTATGCTTGGAGCACACTAGCCCAGACACGAGCGTTGATATCAACACTTGGACTACGAATTGTAGAAGATGTTTCAGAGTTGGGGGGATCATTGACACTTTGCTCCTCAACGAGAGTCAGAGTCTTTTTGGCACGTGGAGCCAGTTTGGAAAGGCGCTGGACGCGACTGCGCATTTCCAAAGCGCCATTGGTGCAAAAGTTGATGTGCATCCCAATGGTCTTCTGGGCATCGGCTCTACATGGAGCTCTGGGATGCGTCTTTGCAGATGGACATATCCACCAACTTCGCAAGAAGGCCGTGGCAGCGCTTGGATTGAAGATCGGTGGCTCAAACCCCATGCTGCGATTGTCATTGTCGCAACCAGCCACTGCCGACCCAGGTTTTTACCATTTGCGTCATTGTGTTTTTGATTTCCGACGAATCTGCGACAAAACACCTGATCTGCTGGTGCAATGGCGAACCTTCATGGCACACTTTACAGGTAGGAAGTTGACTGGGCCATTCTACAAGATAGTTGATCTTTTCAGCATGCTTGGCTGGTCCATTGGCATGCCACCCTTGTTCACCGACCATGATGGTTTTGTCCACAACTTGCTCCAGCTCCCCAATGCCGCTCTTGAGTTGTTGCTGCATGATGCATGGCTACAGTATGTAGCACACCAGGTGACATACCGCCGAACCATGCATGACCTTGCTGGCCTGCGCAAGGAACTGACATTTCTGGATCGGAGTCACATGACTCCACAGGAATTGGGACGCACTATGGCTTTGCAATCAGGTGCTTTTATTTCCGATTGGAGCCATGCCAAGTTTGACCCAACCAAGACTTCGATTTGCTCTAGATGCCTGGTCCCAAACACATTGCCTCATTGGTTTCGATGCCCAATGTTTGATGCTGTCCGTGCACAGATGCAGGAAACATTTGACTGGCTCAATGAGCTCCCAGACTGTATGGTACACCATTTATTGGTGCCGAGATGTCGCTTTGAGCTGGACTTTAAAGCCTACCTCTTGCACATCGAGGACAACACTGGTTGCTTTCACTCTACGCCAGGAGAGGGGGTTCAAAACTTGTTTTCTGATGGCTCCTTTTTTTCTGATAATCCCAAATATGTTGGGGTAGGGGCTTGGTCTTTAGTCAATGCAACTACTGGCTGCATCATTGGCACTGGGCACCTACATGGACTGGTGCAATCGATCTCACGAGCTGAGCTCTGCGGTGCTTTGGCGGCGATCAAGTGGGCCTCTCACTATCAAGTGGCAGTGCACCTTTGGAGCGACTCCAAGTATACAGTAGATGGCATCAAAGCCCTCTTGGACGGCCAATGGCATGTTCATGCTTCTCTGTGCGAAAACCATGACCTTTGGCGCCAACTTGCTGACCTTTTGATTGACTTGCCGGACGGCCTCTTTCAGGTTAGTTGGATTCCATCTCACTTGGATCTTACGTTGTGCACCACAACACTGGAGGAATGGATCGCAGTCTGGAACAATGTGGCAGATGAGCTTGCTGTGCGCACCAATGCATCACGCTCAGATGAATACTACCAACTGAAACATGGAGCACAACAACACTTTGCCTTGTGGGCTGAACGGATCAGAAGCATTCGCCAGTTCTATTTCCTTGTTGCTGATGTCAGGCTCCAAGATGCTGAGGTGATAGATCTGACGGTGAGTGAGTCATTTGACTGGCCCAATTTAGGTATCGTTTTGCCCATTTCAGATGCAATGCCAATTGATTGGCAGTCACAGTTCAAAGCGCAAGATGTACAGTTGAAGTTTCCTTTTGAATTCGTTTTGTCCATTTTTGAGCACTTGTTTCAGCTTGAGTTGCAAGCAGACATTTTCGTGCCAATTAGTTTTGTAGAGCTCACAGTTTGGTGCATACGAGAGTGTCATTTATCTTTTCCATTTTGGAATCCAAGTCGTATGCAATGGGATTTGAGACCATATGATGCCTTGTTGCTGCGTCCCACTTTGGCGTCGATGGTTCAGATTGTTCGGGTTGTGTTTACCAAGGGGTGTCGAATCCTTGGCTTGGAGCAATTTCTTCTGAAAGGCATCCGAAAGCCTGAGTCTGGATTGTTTTTGCCTGCGGATGGCATGGCAATTTGTACAACAGTTGCCACCCAGGGCAATCTAGCGAGTGGCTGCCTTTCAATCGCCGGTCAGCACAAGTTGCGCAAGGCATCTGACCTGGCTCGTCCCATCTGACTTTCGAACCTTGGCGGCAACTGCACTGCCTGCGGCCGTGCATTGCAGTCAACTGAAGTCGTCCGCGATATTTGTCAAAGCTGATGAGTGAGAAAACCCGAGTTTTTTTCTAAGGAGTCCTACCCTTTGGTAAACTAACATAACTACGGGAAATCACCAATTTTAATGGCTAAACCAACTATAAATGGCCATTTTCAATAGCTATGTTTATTTACCAGAGGGTAATTGGTTGCTGCATGACCTGCTTTAATTGAAAATGTTGGATCAGATGGATGAACTACGATGATTTTTCACCAAGAATCGATGAAATTTGTTGACCTCATGGCCGAACAGGGCCCACATCAGAGACAGAGAGAGATACTTGATGCGTATAGAAACACTCCATTGTTACGAAAGAGATACGTTGTCAACTTAACAGTTCACCAAAGTCATGATATATATGATACTATATGATGCATGACATGCTAATTTCATATAGGCTAACACCCAACGACTAGAGTATCATTGACAGCTATCCGATGCACCCCATCTCCGCTTCCACCTGTGCCGAGGTTACGACCTCATTCGGGTCCGCGAAAACGCGGAATCCGTGGCATTTTTTGAGGGGGGCGCGGCCGAATGGTCCAAGTTTACTTCACTCTTCGACGGTTTGCTGATGCTAAGTTGCATGGGTCAGAAGATTGGGCCCCACAAATCATCCCCACCTTGGGTAGTTGGGTAGTTTAATCCTTTTATAGTTTATTGCTATAAATGAATCATAACCATAGCCAGAAAAATATTTTTTGGCGAACTACCAAAGATTGACAATGAAACGGCATGTGTTTGCAATCTAAATGATGGTAATGATTAACGAGTGGATTCTTTGGTACCCTATTTTCATCTATTTTCATATAAACCCAGATATTTTGCGGACATGGGTGACTGAACAGTGACATGGATCAGTGTAGCTTGGTACACTGTAGCCCGGCACCAAAACGGCTGCGAGCTGTTTTGGGTTACCCTCTGGTTATTTAACATAGCCATGGAAAATGGCCCATTTATAGAGGTCTACAGTTTACCTATTAAAAATTGTGATTTTCCATGGCTATGTTAAATAACCAGATGGTATGCCTAATGGTTCCATGATTTTCCATGGTTCAACTATTATTGTGCATTTTCAACGTTAAACTATGGCGACAAGATCCGACTTCGATCCGACTTCGATGGCCAAATGGCCGGACTTCGGTGGCAACATCGAGCTGGCTGTTCTTGGCACATGCCTGCCTTAAATGTGCACGAGCCGGTGGATCGGTGGCACCAGCTACGACAGTCGCTACGACTTCAAGCCAGCCACAGACATGGTGCAGGTGGATGGTCGCCACGGAGTTTTTTGAAGATTTCTCAAGGGGGGTGGCTCAACCACCAGCTATAGGTATCGACCACCCCCCCAATGGGAGCAACAAAAATCTTTGAATTTGAAGGAGTTTGGATTTCCAGTGGTGACGATCAGCAGATGTTTCTGGATGAACTGGTCAGCCAGAATTGGAGGAAGATAAGATGATCAGACCCACGTTCAAATCCCTAGCGAAAGTACATATGTTTTGTCAATTCGCTAGTCCCACCAAGAATCACTAGAAACAGAAGGAAACTACTGTACACACTTTTGTAGGTAGGTTTCTTCAAAGGTCTATTTGAGGCTAGCAATAGCATGAAAATTGAGGACGCCTGGCTAGGTCTACAGGTATCATTCTATGGGTCTCCCCGGTGCATGTCTCATGTTTGTGGGAAAACATCCAATGATAAGTGGCCTCACTGATCCTCACTGCACTTTGAAAGATGAGGTTGCTATATCATATGTTTTTTTCCCTCTTTATATATGTATATTTAAACAATATAATAATACTACTAATAATAATAAATAATATAATAAAAAAAATGTATATATATATATATCCATCTACTCATGTATATACATACGTTACAATGTTATATTTTTTCGGAACATTATCTCCATGCACCTGCAGTTTGGATCCCCCCGAGCGCAAGGAATACGGTCTACCGCAGCATCATCGTGGCCTCCGGCTTTGGGATGTTCAATCGATCCTTCCACTGGGTTCCCTGGCCGAAAGAGCACCCGGTACCGCAAAAGGGTGATCTTTATAGGGAAAAACACGGTCTTTTTGGGAGGTTTAATGGGAGAATATGGGATTTTGATCGAATTTTATGGTGATTATTAGAGATTTACCCGAACAAATTTGGGATATTTTGGGATGGTCACTGGGAATTACTCTTTGGTGATCTAAGATAGCATAAGATAGCTATGGAAAATGACTGCTGGAAGTAGCATGTTGGATTACCAGATGGTCAACTGAAAAGATCCATGGATGCAAATTGTTGGTTAATGATGAGTGTCTTGTTGATGTTGATGGTTTCACAAGTTGTTTCACTAATTCAACCGAACAGGCTTAATGGCTGGTTTTGCGAAGTTTTCTTTATGCAGGTTGACGAACAGTACTTGCGATACCATGGTTGTCCACTCTGGCTCACTGTTGGGCCAACTGAGGATTTGGATGACTTTTTTGGTTAACGTCTTGTTTGCACGGCTGTTTTCAGGTTGGCCACTGTTTACTGAGAGGGGCTCACTGCAGAAAAGAGTGTTTGATGCTTATAATATATTGCGTATATATCTATATATATATATATAGATTGATATATAAGATATGCTTTTGTTTTCATGTAGTACGCTCATTCTTTTGTACACACTGCAGATAGCTAGGATTGGTTAAGCGGCTTCATCCCTTGTCCCAAGAGGCACCTCGCTCGAATTTGGAGCGCCGGAATCCCCAAGTCACCATGGGGTTTCAATACTAAAATGGCGAAATTTTGGATGGTACCCCCATGTCAGGGAAAACCATCATTTTTTTTTAGTTCTCCAAAACTTTTGGATTGCATTTTTTTGTTGCGGATCAGATTGAAATTGTTTTCAGATACTCAATGAATGGCTGGTGCAGTAACAGATTTTCCACTCGGATCCGGCCACATCTCATAGTCCATATGATATATGTGCTGATTGTCCATAAGTCCCATATCCCAGTCATATTATTAAACACGCCTTTTGCATGGTCTCCCAACTATGTTTTCCAATCCCCTTTTAAACAATGGTTTCTGGGTGCTGAATACTAGCGCCATGGTAAGCCATTCTCACCCAAAATCATTGGGGGGAAACGGTTGGGTATTTTCTTTCCGTGTGCAAACGGATGGTTCAGGAAATCACATCAATCATGTATCAACCAACTCCATAAAATCACCATTAAACCACCATCAAACCCATTGAAATCACCATTGAAGTCACCATAAAATCACCATTGAAGTCACCATTACACCATAAGTAACCCCCAAGAAATCGCCAAATCCGATTTGTTCATTGAAATCACAATTTTTTACCACCTTTTGTTTCACCATGTCAATCCGCTTCGGTATCTCCCAAGGCCACCTTTGCCATCCCCGCGCTGTTGGTTGGCCCTGCATATCTCAAGGGCGAAGTTCAGTTCGGCGTCATCTCGCAGGCGCCGATGCCTGGTTTTTAAAGGTGACCTTTTTTGTGACCACCAAAAAGATGATTGAACTGAACTAGATTGAAACTTCAAAGAAAATTCAAACAAACCTGGTTTGATGATGTTTGATGTGCTTTGGATGTTTGTTTATGACTTTCCCGTCATATTGGGAATGTCATCATCCCAATTGACTCATATTTGTCAGAGGGATTGAAACTTCAAACAACTATACTTTGCATATCTTTGCATCGAATGTTTTTTTGATGTGGTACTTTGGCAATAGAGTGAATACGAAAAAATAATTTACAGTAAAAACCAGGGGTCCCAATTGGCTATTCTGGTTGATGGTTTGATGTGGTTTGGAACATTTGGATTATTGTTCCATATATTGGGAATGTCATCATCCCAACTGACGAACTCCATCATTTTTCAGAGGGGTACGTATACCACCAACCAGCCATTATTAAGCATCATTAATCATCACTAACCATCATTAAATCACCAGAAAAATCACCATTAACCCACTATAAATCACCATTTTCTATAGGAAACCCACTATAAATCACCATTAATCACCATTAATAATTAGCTAGCTGGGCGATCCCCTGCAGAGGTTTATAGATGCTTAAACAAGATGGTTACCATCTGGTTATGACTACAGTTTGCAATGGAAAATCGCAATTTTTAATAGGTAAACCATCTATTTCTATGGGCCATCTATACCATGGCTATGTTAAATAACCAGATGGTTAAAACCACCAAACAGTTTTGGGAGGAGTTGATTTTTTGGTTTCAGGAGAAGCCTGATTTTGGGCGAAGTCCGGTTCCTTGGGTTCTCTCTCAACCTGCTGGTTGATGAAAAAAAGGCGTGCCCCCATATAGGACCAATGGGTAGATGATAGCCTCTGGTAAACATACAAAAAACTGATGGGAAAATCACCATTGTTCATGGACAAACTCAGTATAAATGGTCATGTTCAAGAACTATCTTAAATTACCAGATGATAAATGATGAGAATCTGTTCCTAAAAGGACAATATATGAATATAGTTTCCCATCATATCATATCCATGCAGGCAAGTATGGCCTTCAACATCATCCTTGGAGCGCTGACGTTGATCATGGACAAGTGACGTGCTGGCAGAAAGTTGATATTGGAAACTACTCCAAGCTTTGTGTGGTAGGTGATTTTTGTGTTAACCATAAACATCCATAAACTTGAGAAAACAGACGTGTTTTTTATTTTTTGTTCAATCGATCCAGGATCAGCTGCCTAATCATGTGTTGATTTGTGGGGGAAAAACGCGAATAAAAAACATAAAGTTGCTCGGATTCTTCTTGACAACAACATTTGATCCCTTTGGCATGGTCCTCGAATTTGAGATCATCAAGATCTAGAGTTTTGGGTGTAACAAACTCACCGATTATGTTTTTGCCAAGCTGATGCATCAGAATTCAGAAATCTGACACTTCGCCACCTTTAAATATACTAGATACAAATCTACTAGCCATCATTCATGGTATCATGGTGAGGTGGTTCTGAGGTCCTTAGAACTTTTCTCCAAAGGTTGGTTACACGGTGACGCCAGTGGCGGTTACAAAATCACTGGGGTCCATCTGGCTGATGCTGATCCAGATGGAAAAACTCATGGATAGTTCATACGTGTAGCGACCCCATGCGACCCCAAATGACTTCACTATCAATGATGAGTCTTGGGGAAACCATGAATTTTATAGCTCTTGAGATTTGCGACTTATAAAATCCGGACAATATGTTATATATACAGATTGGGGGATGGTCATCAGTCCATTATATAATGGGGATTTACATGCCCATGATCAGAAATCCCTAATGATGGTGGATTGACCATAAAACCATTAATATATCATATTCTTGCTTACACACACATTTATATATATATATACATTATGCACATATATGTACCAGAAAAATACATATACCATTATACCATGATATATCCCCATGATTGATGGTTTGGAACATGGCTGGATTATTGTTCCCATCATATTGGGAATTTGAAACATCCCAACTGACTTTCACTCCATCATTTTTCAGAGGGGTTGGTGGCTCAACCACCAACCAGTATATATTAACCATCATTAATCATCATTAGCCATCATTAAATCACCAGAAAATCACCATTCATCCACTATAAATCACCATTTTCCATAGGAAACCCACTATAAATCACCATTTTCCATAGGAAACCCACTATAAATCACCATTTTCCATAGGAAACCCACTATAAATCACCATTAATCCACTATAAATCATTAAGATTGATGGCTAATATTCCCATTACAAGTCCCTTTGACGGGATGACCACAAACAGTCCCCTTTTTTTGCGCGGAGGTTAGAGTCCCTCACGGATGTGGCCGTGCGCATCCGACGTGCCTGGACGTCGATCAATCCATTTATTACAATGAGATATAGATCCAGATGGAATTCAATGAGGCATATGGATTTATATATATATATATATCCATATGATTACATATATGTATATCTAGATGGTTTCTAGATGTTGAAACAGGGATTGGATCAAATGATCAAATTCAAAGTTGATTGTAGCTTGGAATGGACTATATAAGTGACTAGTTAAATTCAAGCATCACATGGATTAATATCACATGGATTAATGACCCGTTGATTCAATGTGACTGACTACATGCAAAGAACGTTGTGCCCTAAGGCCTTACCAACTCTGCCCTCCTTTCCTCAACGCCACTAATTATTGCATTTGTTTGTTTCCCAGGGCGTTCTTTAACTTGACGATATTTCTTCATGGGGCTACAGGGGAACCCAGTTCAGGGTCTTTGTGAACAAGATACGTCATTGTTTTAAAGGTCGGATTGCTGATTCAACACATCCAATTGGTGCCCAATTGTCCCAATATAATGAACAATTTCCCCATGTTACCTATGCCAGATGTCTTTTTCGTTGGCCCCATGTCAGTTCAAAAATTCCTGATGCCTTCGGCTGCCACTCCCATCCCGCTGTTGGCTCCGGATCCCAAGGTTTAGAAGACCTTGAGTTGGCCCTGCGGCGTTGTAAGAACGAGGTCAGGGCAGTTGGTTGGAGCGATTTAAGGAAAAGCCATTCGAAAAAATGGGATAAGCCATTTTGGGGAACTCACTAACCATGGAGGGTTACTAATCAGTTACCAAGTGGGATGATCCTCCGAAAATCTTGGAATCTTGATGGTGCGACGACCATGTTCTGTACTGGCCCATTGGCAAGTGGGATTTTTTATTGCCGGCATTGGATATAGCAAGCCCACCCACAGATGGAAGAGTTGGACATCCGGAAATATGAGGTAAATATCGTTAAACTGCCATCCTAGAATGTGAGGCCCCCAAGATAGCTAAGTTGGAAGCTTTCAGTCGTACCAGCGAACATATTATATGGGAACATGTTCTTGTTCCTCCTTTGCACGGGCGTATTCCTTGCTTCCCCCCATCTTCTTTTCCGTGTCTACAAAGAGGTCATCACTGGTCAAATGATCCCAGCAATTGCTTTGGCGGATTTCAATCCAAACAAACAAGCATAGGAAAGGGATGAATATATGGGTCATCCTTTTTTTTTGCCCCCAACAAGGCTCTGGTAACCAGTACCCGTCACGGTGGCTTCGCCGAAAACACTGAAATCCAAGGCGATGCAACGCCGTCGCCCTGGGAACTTTAGCATCGCATCCAGTGAGACAACTCGTGGGATGCCTCGGAGGGTGGGTTGGGCTGAAGAGTTTTTGCCGACATGTTTTCCAAAAAAAACTGCATGACTTGGGTTCATAGATGCTGCATGATGTTGCCATGCAAAACGAGAGTCTTCGAGTTTTTTGGGATAAGATGGGCTTAGCTGGATGGATTGGGTCTGATCGGGCTGCGGCCAGAGCGAGGCTGATCTGGCTGGGATTGCCAGTTATATACTGGTTGGTGGTTCGGAACATTTTTTCTTTTTCCATATATTGGGAATGTCATATATTCCCAACTGACTATTTTTCAGAGGGGTAGGTCAACCACCAGCCATTATCAACCATCATTAATCATCATTAACCATCATTAAATCACCATTAACCATCATTCATCATCATTAATCAATATTAATCATCATTAAAATCACCATTAATCACCATGAATCATATAATCAATGTATATATCTCCAAAAGATACCACCCACACCAATCAAACATGGCAATGGAGAATCCCCTTAATTGACACGTCTCGAAATCTAAAAATCTAAAAAACGATGATTTTCATTGATTTTCGGCAAAGCTCCAGACTTCTCAGAGCTATCAAACATCAACATTTAAAACGTAGACATGTGTTTTCCCGGGCCATTTTTCCATATGTTCGTCATGACCAGAGGGTATCTAATGGCAACCCGGGAGAAGGCGGAAGGGGCTTCCGCCAGGGTTTTTCTATGGAAATCACCATGTTTCATAGAGAAATCATCTATAAATGGAAAAATCCATGAAAATAGTGGAAACCAAAACTTCCATAGCTATAACTGGAGGGCAAAGTTGAACAATCATCAGAGAGTAGGTTAGAAGTAGCTCCATTTAGCTTCCTGAAAATCCTCTTCATCACCTCAAGGTGACCTCGTCACAACGTTTTCACGTCACTGGAATGATGGACGGGGAATCCCCAAATGGTTTCATTTCAAATATGTTCAGCTTAGTGAATTAGTATGATTCAGCCAGCATGGCTTACAAACACAATATATGTTTAACATATAGCTATTGAACATGGCCATTGTTATATAGTTGATTCACCCATTAAAGATGGTGTTTTTCCCTCCATTTAGAGTTTACCTTGGGGGTATCAACTTGTTTTGGTGGCTTCAGCAGCCTGGCAGATTCCGAAGATCTCTTGCGCTTCAACGAGGTTCGGTTCATGATGAAAAGACAACGTTCAGTGGAGTTGAACACAAATGTGGTTCAGTCAGAGATCTCCATAGTTCAGGTTTCGAAACTTTTAACTGTGGCCACGTTGTTTGTTTTAATTTGACATACATAGCATACATGCCCAAAAAACTGGATTTGGAAGATGAATTGTGCATTGGATTTGGCAATTTGTGGGCTCAGCCGGTTGGTTGAATTTGGGCAGTGCATTTTCGACTCAACCTGCGATGTTTATGACGGTTATGCTGAGCGACTTCATGATGTTCATTCTTTGGAGATCTGTTAAACAACGGGTTGAACATACCAAGCACAGGGGTGTCCTCTTGTCAGGTTGGGTTTGCATCAGCAATGGCTAAAGACAGCAGTTCTATATAGATGTTTGAAACCTATAGATACCCTCTGGTAATCAAACGTTCGGGCCGCTGAAAATAATCTATAAATGGGGATATGACATACTAAGGGATGAGGATCCATATTGTTATCATTTTTTGTCATCTTAGGCTACGTAATCTATGTATCACTGCGAGTGGTATATGACCGTACTGTACCATACTGCTCGGCCAAGCCGACCTCACAATGACATGACATGACAATGATGCGTTGCATGGAGGCACACCTCTTGCATGCTGGAAGTTCATACAGAGATATAGATAATAATTGGCTGGTAATTGCTTGTAAGCCTCTATCTCCCAGTGCAGTTGCAACCCCATAGATCAATATTAATATGTATGGAGAGATTTATTATATCTATTTATATCTATATGTTTATATCTAATTATATATTATATTTTACTATATTAAATTATATTATTTATAATTATTTTACCTATCATTCACCAAACCCAAGGACCAACCAACCAATCAACATCAATCAACCAAGCGGGCCCCAAGCTCCAGGTGACGTTGTGTACGCCGCCACGTGTGGGCATGCGACAGCAGACGCTCTGTCAGGAACTCACCTTAGGGCTGAAAGCAGGTGACTCAGACGGTAGTCCCAGGGTTGGCCAGTTGAGATGGTGTGAAGATGAAGTTGAATGGTGATTTTTTTAGGTGCCAATTTAGTGATGTGAACCTATGGCTTTAATGATGATTAGTGATTTCTTTTGGGCTTAGTCAGTCATTAAAACTTGATTTTCTGGACCCTTCTGTTTGAATTAGTAACTATGTTGCTCATAATTCTAGTGATTTGTTTACAGATTTTCATTCTTGGTTCAAACTTCAAACGGATGGTCTAGGAACACACATTGGGAGAGAATCATGAGGATTGGGTCTGCCGACTGGTGAATTCCCGCAGTGTAACTGCGTAAACTGGAAGGTGAATGGCCTCTTGATGAATTTAATGTTGTTGTTCAAACGAATCCAACATGTTTTCTTGGATTACATTTCCCGGTTCTTGGCCCCAAGCGTTTTCCTCATGATGATTGCTGATTCAGCTTACTTTGCGATCCAGTAGTTCACCGTATAACAAGGGCAACCAGAGGCAGTCCTTTTATGATCACAGCCAGTCAACCGACCATTCACCAGCATTACTTTTAAATCAACTGGACCGAAGGGCCCTCCCTCTCATATTTGCGGTATGCCACCATCCAAGAGAATCTATCAGATAATCTATATAACTATAGATAATATCCATATATATATATATCCACCTTAACTCCTAGTGGGGCCCTTTCTGACTCCACCTGGTACTCAGTGACAGTCATTGCATCCAGATCCATGGGCAAGGTGAAGATCGTCCAGTAGGGCATCGCTTAGTGGTTCTCAGCTATAAATCAGCACCATATCCACAGGTGGATATCAGATATTTTTTCTACAGCAGTTTACAATCACCTATGATGGCTGTAAGCAAAAAAACTACCTCTCAAGCAACCACTTATCCCAAAAAAGCCAGGTTTGTTGAAGCCACAATGCTGATGTTTATTCTCCAAAACCACGTAAAAGCTACAACCTCAACTAGACTATAACCCATCGAGAACTAATCCCTGTTGATCATCCCAACCAGTTTTTTTTAACCACCATAGCTATAACTCTAACAACAACCTGCTTAACTATAACCCTTAAACCACAAATTAATCACTACGCTACTAGCAGTATCATTATAACCTTAATCTACGCAGTGATAATATAACGGATAAGTAATTTAAATATGTTTTAACTAATAACTAATATCAAATAACTTTATATAATTAAAACTGGTAAATATAATTATAGCTATTAGTGATATGGTTATAAGATAAAATATGAAGACAATAAGTAGCTTAAGTATATATATATATTTATTTATTTATATCCAGTATATGTGATAAATAGTATTTAAGTGTCAATACTCAGAACTATGAATTATTAACTCTTTCACTACTACCTTATTAGTAACTCATAGTTATAGCTAACAACAGTTACTAAGGTTGTAGATGGCTGTGGTTAAATACTTAAATAATTAATTAGCAATAGTTCATGACTATGTTGTTCACTGTATAAACTTATTATATCTAGTATTGTAACCACTGCTTAGCTATAAAACTAATAATGGATTTGGAGGAAAAAAAATGCAACATTTCGTCCCTGCTAAATTCTGCAGGATTTTCCGTTAGATAACTTTTCCCAGCGACAATAGATAGAAAAGTATAATAACTTTAGTTATAAGTTATAATGACTATATGATACGTATTTAAAAAAAGAAAAAACAAACTATTAGTTAAGGTTGATACATGACTATAATGATATTTTAAAAAAACACCTTTCTGTTAAGGTTGATAGTTACTAACTTTTCCCAGCAACTTTGAAAAGGTGAGTCCCTGTTGATCGTCGGCGAGAGCGGCATTGGCAAATCCTCCCTGCTGCGCTGCTGCGCCGGGCTCTGGTCCGACGGCTGTGGCGAGGTGCAGCTCTGCCCGCGCCGCAGCGTCGCCCGGGTGATGTCGCAACGGGAGGGACGTGGTGGGGATGATTTTCGGTGGAAAAATGATGAAAACTGCGGAGTTTGCATGAGTTTGAGTTCGAAGATCTGGTGAAATACTGTTTTTTTTCATGGGAAGATTGTTTGGGAGGTTTATGGAGGTGTCCTAAGTCATGGGGGTAGCCCGTCGATCATCCACTGAAATAGGATTTATCATAGATCTGGTTGGTGGTTTGGAACAGCCGAGAGGCCCGAGGTTCCTTCCAGTTGGTTCGGCCGTTCAATCTGATCCCGGGTGGTTTTCTTACGTGGTTTGCCATGGCGAGGGCTTTATTTCCCATGGACTGGGCACAGGTTGACAAAGGTGGGAACATTGACCTTTTATGCCGAATGACTGTATTCGATGTGGAACATGATGCACACGTCATGGAGCTCATCCACAATAATGGACGTTTCATCCTTTCGGGGTTGGTTGAGGCTGGATACGAATCCTACACTGTGTTTGACGCTACTTTGGATGTGCAATACCCAGTCCCTAAGGTTTCCTTGGGTCCAACTAGCTGCATTTTGGGCCATCGCGACATCTCTTGGGACAGTCTGTTTTCAGTTATGGATATGTGCAGTGGGTTCGGTGGAATGTCTCAAGGACTCCTTCCATGCGGATTTCATGCAACTGTAGCTGTTGATCAGAATGAAAGAATGCTCCACTTGTATTCCAAAGCTGCTTCGGTTCCAACTGTGTTAGGGGACGTAGGTGACAAAAAGATTCTCCAGGAAGTGTGGAAACTTGGAGGAGGAGCCAGAACAATGACAGGTGGATTCAGCTGCCAACCGTTTTCAGCCCTAGGCGATAAACGTAGCTCCTTGGATCCTCGTTCCAGCTGCCTCTCCAAACTGTTGTATGCTGCCTTTTACATGCGAACTCAAATTCTTGTGCTGGAATGCGTGGCACCCGCTGCGCAAGACCATTTTGTGAAATCGGAGTTGGAATTTTTCTGTGCACTCATGGGTTTTTCATGTGAGCAAAGGACGTTGAACCTTGATCAGGTGTGGCCTTGCAAACGCAACCGCTCTTGGTGGGTGCTTACCTCACCAATGGTTGGGAAGGTGGCTATTCCTGATTTTCAATGTTTGCATGTGATTCCTTCCATTGATAGAATTATTCCATTCATTTCACCTTGGGATAAGAATGATGAAGCTGCGCTGAGCCTCTCAGACGAAGAATTGTTTGCATTTGGTGGTCATGCACATGATTTCTCACAGCATTTGATGAACATGAAGGGTAAATCTCCTTGCGCCCTACATGCATGGGGGAATCAATTGACAGCATGTCCGTGTGGATGTCGACCTGTGGGCCTATCAACCAAGAGGCTTGAGGAGAAAGGCCTTTTTGGCTTGCTTGTTCACAGTGCGCCAGACAATGAAGGACAGACTTTCATTAGGCACGTTCATCCATGTGAGGCCCTTGCTTTGAACGGAATGGATCCTACTCTGGATTTTGGAACACAGCCAAGATTGATTTTGAGTGCAGTGGGGCAACTTGCCTGTCCTATCCAAGTCATGTGGGTCATGTCCGCCATTGCCAGTCATTTGGAGGAACTTAAGTTGGGGAAGTCCTGTTTTACTCCCGAAATCCAACTTAATGCATACATGTCATGGCTGGTTTCACGATGCAATATGGTTTGGCCCTCTCCTGACACACAGTGCGTTGACAAGTTTGCCCTGTTGTTGGAATGCTGGAATCCGCTTGAACACCTTTCACTGGAAGAGCTCGTGTATCCTAACAGGTGGGAACACAAACTTGAGGCACCAGTCACCATCGCTGCCATTCTTGATCTGATGTTCCGTGAATTTCAACAGAGAACTGCAGTGCCACCTGCTGTTGCGGGTGCCTCAGATGATGGCTTTGAGGATGCCAGCATGGATCCTGAGACCCCGTGGCTTGACACACCGATTGCTTCCGATGACCCTGATGCAATCCCAGGGTTGAATGCTGCCTTTTGCACGATTGTGTTTGATGGTGATGTCCATGCACCGGTGTTGCTTTCTCCAACTACCGGGACCACACTGAATGATTTGCTCACTGCGCAGTCCAAGCTTGTTGGATCCATTAGCCAATGCAAATGCACTGATGTTAATGGCCAAGTACTGCCGCACACGCATGTTCTAGATGTTGGTCAGATTGTCTTTGTCGGTACTGCATTTGGCAGACCTGAAGCAGAAAGCATGGAAGTTGAAGAGATTGAACATGTGCCTGACACGCATCTTGATCCATCTCCCACTGCTGCTTGGACACAGCCTGCTCAGGAGCATCCATTGCAGAAGCCGTCAGTGTATGATGTAGGTGAATGCTCTGTGGAGCGTTTATGCGACCAACCTGAATGGCTCAGTGCAGACCCGCTTTTGGGCCTCAAAGGAGACAATTTTCTGCAGCTTTCAGCACCACAGATTGCCAACACACATCAGCTGTGGTCCATCCGACATCAGTTTTTGAAAGTTGCAGACAGGCTGACCATCCTGGATAACCAGGGGACGCTGTTTGCTGATGATGAAATTCGGTATCATTTGTTTGTCCTTGGCCAGAAGTTCATTGATTTGCAAGTTCGAAGTTCCAATGACAAGGTCAAACAACTAGTGACCATTGACCCTGTTATCACCACTGCATGGGTTCAAAACAAGGGTTTTTCATGTGAGGAATGGGGGAAGGACCATGGTTTTGTACATTCCAAGTCACTCCCTGTGGCTGCTGTTTTCCATGTTGCTGGTCATTGGATCCCTGCCTTCATGCGCCCGATTGGTGACACCTTGAACGTTTGTGTTTGGGATGCAGACTCCAATGATCATTTGCAGCTGAACAATATTTTGGAAAAGATCGGACTTTCCATGGGATTTCTGTCGGTCATCATTCAAAGAGAACGACGGATGTTTTTCTCAAGTGATTTGCGTGGCCCGCTCGCAATTGCATACCTTCATGATGCCTTGTTGCACATTCAGTTGCCAGTGAACCAGGAGGAAACATTGCAAAGGTTTCACTTGTACCGTGATCACTTCGTGCGTTCAATTGCCTCATGTGACATTACCAAGCGTCCCTGGATCTGGGGCAAAGGTGATCGGCAACCAACCCTCATTGATGAAATTTCAGGTGATCCTACCAATTTTCCTTTGCCTACGATGTTGACTCGTGACCAGAGACTGGCGCTATTGTCTGAACATGGTACTGCTGTGGCTGACGACGAGATTCGCTTCCATATCCAGCACATCATCCAAAGATACCACACCATCATGACACAGAGAGGCCAGAGTATTGTGCCTGACTATCTCAGTTTTGAACCGTTGGTTTTCACATGCTGGGAAAGCATTGGCCGGACCATTTCTGCCAGATGGAGTGAAAGGCATCCGGAAGTTCGTGCAGAAGGAGTGCAGGTCCTCACTGCGTTCCATTTGGACAATCATTGGTTCCCTGTTTGGTGGGTCCCCAAAGATCAATGCATTACCTTCCATACAGTGGCTCATGAAACGGTTGATGCTCACAAACTTCGTGATGTGTGTGCGTGTATTGGACAACAACTTGGTTTTCCATTGTTTGCACTTCATGTCTTTCCCTCAGGTTTGCCCAGCCATGAATTTTGTGGGACACATGCAATGATGTTTTTGGCACATGTGGTTCATGGAGCACGGTTGCCGGATTCGGTGTCAGAACTCTCCACACTTCATACCAATATGCGGGCAACTTTTGTCGCAGATTTGTATACCAAGACTGAGGTACCTGCCCCGGTTCTGTGGGGGAATGGAAGTCCACAAGGGGAATCTGGGCTACTCCCGAAATTGCCCAGCAGGTGTCCTTTTGCGGCGCTGAGTTTTGATGCAGTTCATGAGTCTCCAATTGTGCCTGATGGTGCTACTGGCAGTGCTGGATCGTTGGTTACCAACACCATTGACTGGCAATTTGTCAAACATTTGTTTCAGTGGCAAGCCAATGTCCTTGCTGACAGCCAGGTACCACAAGCCATACACCATGGCCAGGTTGATGCCCAACCGCCACAGACCAATGCACTTGACGCAGCAGAGATTGTTTTTCATGTTTCACGTATCCAGGCTTTGGCCAAAGCAGCTAACCCAGGATTTGTTTGCCCTGCGATCCAAGTTTTGCCTGATCTCATCAATTTTGTACCTTTTTTGAGTGATTTCTTGCTGGGACCTTTGAGCACCATGATCCAGGTCGTGCTGATCAATCAACATTGGATCCCAATTGTTTGCGTGGAAAGTGCATCGGTTTGCCGAATTTTTGCACCGGCAGGCTCCATCATTGCAGTCAGTCGAACAGTTGTTGATCTCCCCTCTTGCCATGTGGTAGGGGTACATGAGCCTCTTCAACATAACCTTTGTGGCGCTTTCGTGATTGACATTTTGTCCAACATTTTGTGCAATGTACCAGTCGCAACCTCTGTTGAGGAACTTGAGTGCCGACACCTTCAGTTTCGCACTGATTACATTGTTAGCGGTAACAGTGTGTGGAGTTCTGGTCTTCGTGGTTTTGGTCCTCAAGGTGCTTTGCAAAAGGAGTTGGCAGCTGAACTCACAAAACATGGTGTCCCTGTTGATCAAGCAGACACACGCGCAAATGAAGCCATCAAGGCTTTGGGCAGTGACCAGATTGCCACAGCGCTGCGTCATCGCCAACCATGGCGCCAATTGAAAACATTGGGAAATAACAGCAGGTTTAAGTTTGTCTTGCCTTCTGAAATTGCTCAATTTTTGGAGACTGATGCAAGTGCAACCAAAGGGGGTAAAGGCAGAGGCAAACAGAAACCAATGCTTGGACAGCCGATGGACCTTGATCCGGGTAAGCTCCAACTGCTTGAAGGGTTTTTCCGTGTCCAAGGTAGGGTCATTCCTCAAATTCACCCGAAACAAATCGGCCCAGTCAGTTCTGGTGTCATCTTGATGTCACATGCTGAAGCTGAACCTTATTTGCGGGTAGGCAAGGCGGTCTCCACTGAACCTCTT